TGGCTGCTGCTCAGCTGGGAAGCAGATCCATCTGCTCTGCGGAGAAGGGACAAAAGAAAATGGATTTCCCAAAGCCAGGCTGTGGCTGGTAGCATCACACATCCGACTGCTTGTTTTTTAATCTTCCAACTTGAATGAAAAAGAAACAAACCCCTGAAACAAAAATCCTGGCAGTGGAGTGAAGGGCATCAAAGGAATCCGGGTGGTGGCAGAGCGAGGGGAGAGGGGGGAAGAGTTTCTTCTTCTTTTTGTTGGTGTTTTTTTGGGTGTTGTGAGAAATTACAGATGTAGATTCATAAATACCTAATGGCTACATGCAACAAATCATATCTCACAGTGCAATGGATTCCAATGAGCACACTCAGAACATGTTTAATTCCTTTTTGGGTTGGTTTTGCTTTCCCAGCATCTAAACTACCCCCCCCTCTGGGCTCAACCTTCCTTTCCCTCCACCCAGCCCTCCCAGGCAGCTGGAAAACTTGGGAGAAATGGGTCCAAAAAACGTGATTATGGGCTGGTGAGGGGAGAATACCTCAGCAGTGGAGCTGCTGTGAGAGGCTACATCCCAACCAGGCTCCTGCCAGCAGCCTCAACGCAGCAAGGGATAAACCACTGATGATTTTCCATCCCTGGATCCTTTTTTCCCCCCCCTCCCAGCACCCAGGAAGGGGAGAAGAGTGGAGCAGCAAAGCGTGTTAAAATTCCTTGTGAAGCCCAGAGCTGGCCAAAGGATTTAAAAAAGATTAAACTAATTTTTGTCACAAGGGCATTTTTTGCTTTTTAATCTTGCACAGCTCTTTTTCTTTTTTTTTTTGGGTGAAGCCAATAGGAGAAGGAGAAGCTGGGAGGGGTTTTGGGGGGGGTTTTAATGTTTCCTTTGGGAGTGCAACAAGTGTTAAAATTCCTTGTGAAGCCCAGAGCTGGCCAAAGGATTTAAAAAAGATTAAACTAATTTTTGTCACAAGGGCATTTTTTGCTTTTTAATCTTGCACAGCTCTTTTTCTTTTTTTTTTTGGGTGAAGCCAATAGGAGAAGGAGAAGCTGGGAGGGGTTTTGGGGGGGGTTTTAATGTTTCCTTTGGGAGTGCAACAAGGGAATTTAAAGCAGAAAGCAGAGGTCACCTTTTCAGATCAACGTGAGTGTGTCTTGTGTTCACTTAAAAATTAATAAACAATTGAAAAATAATAATAATGGTGTAAAAAAATGGTTTTCCAAGGAGTTGAGGCATGGCTAAAAATGATGCCAAACCTGAAACCTGCTGCCCCAGCAGCTCCCCCACAAACAGCTTGACCTGGCTTGTCCCCATGGTGCCACCACATGGTCCCCCCCCATCCCCCGGGGCAAACTCCAGCTCCTGCTGCTCAAACTCTGATTGTCTCAGGGTTGGTTTTTTTT